CCGGAGCCCAGATTTGGAGCTCATGAGCTGCCCCCTGTGGCAGCCCCAGCCTGCGGGACCAGGACCCTTGCAAGGAGCCATCGGCGAGGGGGAGCAGCTCGGCCAGCACCGGGCTCTGCTGCCCGCGTGTCCTGGCAGGGCTGGAGGCAGCTGCCCGGGATGCTGATGCGGCAGATCAGGGCTAGCAGGAGGGGAGAGGAGAGGAACAGCACAGTGTGCTCAGTTTGTTAACGCTTGCAGGGCCTGCTCTGCCAGCTGCCCGGGATGCTGATGCGGCAGATCAGGGCTAGCAGGAGGGGAGAGGAGAGGAACAGCACAGTGTGCTCAGTTTGTTAACGCTTGCAGGGCCTGCTCTGCCAGCTGCCCTCTCCATCGCAGGGTAATACCCCCTTGAAACCTCGTCCCCCTGCTGCAATCCCAGAGATGGGGCTTCCCTGCCCTCTTGGCCCCACATCAGCTTTGAACACAGACTGACCTTGACCCCCACGCAAAGCCTCCCTTCCCCTACCCTCTCCCAGCCCAAATGCTTCTCAGCTGAACCTTTCCCTGCTGCACCGCGAGGGCGGCTGTGGAGGAGGATACGCGTGGGCAGGGAGCGGGGACATCGCGTCCATTGGCCTTGCAGCGAAAATACCAGTGCCGGGCTGGGAGCAGCCTCCAGGCTGGCTTGAAAAACGGTCAGCAGGGACAAAACCCCCACCCCAAGCCTGGATGTGCCTGCAGCCCCTGCCAGCCGGGACAGCATCCCAACAGCCCCAGGAAGCCTGCCCCAGATTTCAGGGCTCCTCAGCCCTACCGTGGCCGGTGGATGCTGCTGTGCCGGTTCCCCTCGCAGCCGTGGGGTAAGAGCAGCTGAGCCGGGGGCTGCTGTGCCCCAGGCATGGGATGCTCTGCAAAAGCAGGGCAGCATTCTGCAGCCAAAAAACGGAGGGGGAAGGTGTTGGGGCAATGTTGGGAGACTTGACAACCAAAGAGGATACTATGGCACCGCAGGCACTGCTCTCCTATACGAAACAGAGCCCAGGGGCAATACAGAGGGACTGTTCCGAATGGTGGGGAGCGAGGGAAGCATGGACCAAGGCCAGACAGCAGCAGGAGCTGCTGGAGAAACAGGGACCAAAGTGCTCCAGCTGCCAGCCCGCAAGCCAACATCTCTCCACAGTTGCACGCCGAACAAGAAAGCCTCCCCGCAGGAAAAGAAAAGGGCAATAAGAAGCACTGCAGGGAGACTGCGCACGTCATTATCCGGGAGCATCTGGAGGAGACTTGACACGGGCTGCCCAGGCCAGCTGCTGCGGCAAACAAAGATCATGTTGCCACTGGCATCGGCAAGGGGACACGTTCGGCAGCAGCTGCCTGGCCCGGAGGCCACATGGGGTGGGGAACCTGCCCTACACTCCCTGCCTGCTCCTGCTTGCGGGCAGGGTGGACCCAGCCCACTTCACAGCACATCCCGTGCCTGCTGACGTCCAAGTCTTACCTCTGCACAGCTTGCCAGGGGCTTTGGAAAGCCCAGCGCCTGCCACCGCAGGGTTAAAATCCAACAAGTCATTTACCTTAAATACCAGTGCAGCAATACATCTGTCCTGGCTTTTGGCAGCTCTTGGCTTTGGAGCTGAAGCATTTGTTGAATCATCAGAAACACGTTTTTGCCCTTCAGCTTTCACAGCCAACAAGCGAGACGCCCGCGCATGGAGCTGAGTCAGGAGCGAGGACAAGACCCCCAGGGACATTTTGGGCATGGGCAGCCCCAACCACAGACAGCCCCAAGTTACCCAGAGGAAGATGGCTCAGACGCAGGAGCTTGGCGTTGTCCCCCAAAAAGCCTCCCTCGTGGCTCTGCTGCTGTGTGAGCCCTCTCCCACCCGTACAGAAGGAGGCCAGGCTCCCCATCACGGCATCATCTGCTTTTCAGCTCGTTTCTGGACATTTCCTCCCCGCTTCCTCCATCCCCGGCGCAAACCCCTCTGAGCAATGGGTTTCCCTTCTCAGAAGGGACTCGAGGAGCTCATGGGGCTGGTGTGTTCCTCTCCCTGTCCTCAGTCATAGGGACAGCCCCAGCATCTATGGACAGGACCGGGACAAATGAGTGCCCCGCTCCAGCTCCGGGAAAAGGGAAGATCCCAGGCTGCAAAGTAGGGGGAGAAAATTGTCTTGGATTAAACTCCTGGGCCCTGTGTGTTGCCATTTATGGCTGCACTTTCTGCTCCAAGCCTGATGCAAGATGTTGCAAGAGGGAAAGAAAGCAGACAGAAGACAGACAGCCAGAAAGAGAAAAGCTGGGAGGAAAAGGGGAAGGAAGAAGCCTTTAAAAAAAGAATAAATAATAATGTTGGGCAGAGTTTAGCAAAGCAAAGCAGCTGCTACATTGGCAGCTCCCCTTCACCCCATCGCTGGGGCTCTCCATCCTCCCACCAGACAGAGAAGCAGCTGCTACAGAAGGAGAGTGGTTTTCCTGCCCCGGGCGACGGTCCTGCCTCTTGCAGAGGCAGCGCTTCGCAGGTCTGACCCCTGCCCAGACCCCCGCATCTGCTCCCACCAGTCCCCCCGCCACCGCTGCGGGCAAGGATGAGCCCGAGAGCGGCCAGAGCCCCGCTGAAGCTCCGGAGCCATCCCGCCCCTGGCGAGGGGGCAGGCAGCACCAGGTCTCATTAGGAAAACACAGGTGCGTCCCACAGCAGGGTGAGGAAGTCCCGGCTCAGCAGCACCCGTCCCCACAGGCAGTGTAACGCTCCAGTGCAGCACCCCCAGCAGTGCACCCAGCCAGCTCATCTCGTGCTCTCCCCTTTTTGCTCTGGCCTCTGGTGAGCAAATGCCACAGGCACTAACACTGGGACATCTCCTGCTGCCACGGATGGGCCAGGCGGCATTCTTGGGCAGGGAGCAGGGGTGGGCAAAGCCTGCCCTCGCCTTGAGGTCTTACCCAGCGGCTGTTCATGTGGGTGGGCACTTCAGAAGGCAAAGAGTCCTCGTGGCCTCTGCTCCAGCAGCGCACCGGCTCTGGGCAGGCTCCCGGGGCCGTACCCAGCCCAGAAGGGACTGAGCAGCAGCCTGACCTCCCCAACCCACTGTAGGGGACACAATGTAAAGCCCAACGCAACCATGCCCCACACCATGTCCCAGCACCAGCCCTGTGCTCCAACCCCACGACTGGGACGGAGGGGAGGGCACGACACGCGCACAGGGTCCCCGGGGGCGTGACGCACGTCCTGCCTTGCTTCCCAATTTGCAGACACTGCAAGAGATGATGCGTTCATTATCGGCACAGACTGCACAGGGTGAGAGCCAGGGCACATCCGAGCAGTTACGGGTCTGGCAGAAGAGCCCTGCATCCCACTGGCAGGGGCCTGGGCTGCTGCCAAGGCTGCGACAAGGGGTAGCACATCACCGCATCCCTCCCCACCGTGCTGCGGGACGGCAGAGCTCTTGCCCCAGCCCTGCAGCAGCATGGAGGCAGCCTGCACAGCCGCCAATTAAAGCCACGCTAATTAGACACCCTCTCCCCTCCGGCACTGGGAAGACAGGCAGCAGGCATTAGAGGGGGAGATGCTGACTTCTTAAATTTAAAGAGTCCCTGCTGGGAGCTGGGTGGTTTGTGCTTCTGCTGCCTGGTGTGTCCAGGCGTGCTGGGAGCCCCCAGAAAGGCGCAGGTGGGGTGGGGGGCACAGGGGAAAGGTGACGGGAGCTTTGCAGAAGAGGCAGGTGACATCCCCTTTCTGCCTTTGCTGTCCGGGTGACAGCACAGCATGCTGTCCTGGCCAGGCAGGGTTTGCATGACTTTCCCTGGCCGGGCCGAGCTGGGCAGCTCCAAATGCGAGGCCCCCCCTTGCCAGATCACCTCCAGAGCTGTCCCCTCTCTCCCTGCTGTCACCCACTTGACCCTGCTCTGCTTGAAGCCACCAGCTGTGGTTAACCCTTGGCAAACCAGCCAGGCTGCCGTGCTGGCAGAGAGCCTGGCATTGCCCACTCGCCCTCCCCGTCCCCAGAGTGTCCTGGCCAGGATGGCATCCCAGCAGTGGCTCTGGACCACCACGGAAAACCCTGCCCCGTCGCTTCCATCTGCCATTTCCACAACAGAAATACTCATTAGAGAATTGAAGTTTGCTGACTGTTTCTTGCAAGAACAAGACTCGGCAGCCCCAGCAATGCTGCAGTTCCCACCCAACAGCTTTTCATTAGGGGATCGCTTTGACAGCACTGCCTCATCCGTTAACGAGCTGGGGATGAGAACAGACAGCGACACACTAATTAACTTCTTTTCAGTGATGGGAGCCAGCAGAGACAAGGGGAACCTCTACCAGCAGTTAATGGAAACGAGGACTCCTGGACTCCTTTCCCTGCTCTGCCACTGCTTTATTCTATAGCCGTGGGCACAATGCTGCAACAGCCCGTTCCTCCCAGCGAGGGGCAGGGAAGCCTCGACCCACACTGATTTTAGCAGCCAGTTGCACATCACAGGCTGCCCTGGCAGGAGGTGGGAGCAAGAGGGAGGCTGAGCCACACAGCTGCCCCAGCTCAGGGTGCTCAGCAGACGCTGGCTTGCATGGGCAGGGAGAAGGGAAGGAAGCAGCGGGGTGCACAGCTCCAGCCAGCCATTAAACACACCAAGGCTGCTCTCCCTGAGCGGGTTCATCCATCAGCATTTTGGTTGAGTGGTTAATGGCCGCAGTGAATCTGAACCAGCCCGGTGCAGGACATGCCGAGCAAACAGGGCGGGGGGGAGAAAGGAGAAAAAAAAAAAAAAAAGGAAAGA